ATTATTTCAAGGAGCACGATCCCAAGGCCCTGCTGTTACTGCCGGTTACCAACTGCCGGACACGTCGGACATTTGGTTTGGAGGCCTATAGACAGGAAGGACAAGGGCAGAGGGCCTTCGGCTGTGTCCTCTGTCTATGATGGTGTCGAGTCAGTGAACAGTTTCACTGTACACAAAGTGAATCGTTTAGTATTTTAGGAGGGTGCCTCCACTACCACATTCACCACCCGATTCGTTTTCGCTCTGTCGTTGATGACATCGAAGAGTGTCCGTCAGATATAGGAGAGATTTGGGAAATGATTTTCTGACATGATAGTGAGAGGGGACGCGAGAAAGCAAAAGGCTATCCAACTTGAATGAGAGAGCGAGAGGGTCGATCAGCGCGGTGGAGCGCGCCCGAACTTTATAGGATAAGCTAGCGAACGAGGAGGCCAGAAAGTGGTGAGTCGTAGCCTGGGTTAAAATGACAGACGAGGATAATGGGGGCGTGCCAGTTGCCGAAGTGGCCGTTCAGAGTGAGAGCGGTAGACGCCACCGATGTGAGGTGAGTGAAGGTACTTCCGAAAGTCGCTGGGTGAGGTTTGCTTCCGACACGACGTCATGCTAAGGATGAAAGATGCACGGACATTATGTCCAAGGCGGTGTAGGTGAGTGTGGAATGCGGTGAATGAATAGAACCGTACAACAGTACAACTTGCTCATCCAACAGTGCCATTAACAGGCCAACATTTGTGATGCTACCGTTGAATTTCCTGTGCACATTCGCCTTCGATGAAGGAATGCACCACTACTTGATCCCGAGTCGTGAGTGCTGCCTTCTCAAACTTGTTGCGACTGCCCAAGTCGTCGTTGAGGCGCACACCAGGGTCAAGGGACGTAGATGAGACAATATCAGCGTAGAATGGAAAATACTGCGCAGTGTGCTGGGGACCGCGCGCTGAGGGTTTTGAGCGCCCTCCGACGTTTTGAACGGTGATCCACGGTCACCCCACTGTTAGCGCTTCGCAAGGGAAGAAAAAAGGGACCACACCTGGAGCTAGGACCCAGAAAATGGGCACATCCATGCCTCGCTTCCTCTTAATATCCGCAGTAGGTAGGAGCTAGGCACGACCCACTATCTGGATCGGAGTTGGAGCTCTACGCCTTGTATGACGGGCGCAAGTGCTAATGCTAAGTGTATCATAGGAAATGATCCGATCATTGCATCTACTCGGAATTGCACGGACTTACAAATGGGGCGATGTCGTCCCAATCATAGCGGCGCCCTCCTTGGATGCCAGGATCATGACCTCACGCAGAACTAATGGACCTTGGATCATCGTGCGCTTCAATGCCCACGCGTCAGCGGTTTTTTTTTTTTTTGTGCGACACGGAAGGCAGAGCACGGGGCGAAAGTGATTATCAGGGTCCCAATACGGGACCGGACGGAAGGTGCAAACTTTTCTTCTTCAGCAGGTCTAGCAGAAATGGAGCTGTGATCCCACCTTGGAACATCGATCAGAGCATTGATGAAACGGTACACGTCTTCATTGAATTGCATTACTCACTGCCATCGATGGCTGGAGCATTACAGGCTTTTAAACGGCTGTCATGATACGCAACACCTTTGTGGACATCCCATGAACAAGGTGTGATGGTGCCTCATGAACTGATGGAATTGTTATTTGTTGCCGTCGTAGGAAGCGCTTCTCCCCACTTACAGTAGCGAGCTCTATCTTGCTGACATTCTGTTCAGTGTATCAATGGGGTGGATGTTAGCATGTGCACCCGCAACATGGCATGCAGAGAGATAAGGTCTTTTGCATTAGGTTGCAATTCAGATCGTCGCTGGGCATCGAGGATGACGTAATGGTCAGTTGCTCAGCGGGCGAGCGGGTGCACGAGCGAAGTGATTAGACGACCATGCTACCAGGGGTTTTCTAAGCTAGCATGACATCGCATGCGGTGTTGCGGGGCTTCTGTGTTGGTGGCGGCGGGTTGCGCGATGGGGACGTGGAGTACGCGTTAACCGCGGCTAGAGCAGAAGGCAGTGGGTGAGAGTCTGAGCTGGGTCCAGTCAGGCGCTGAGATCTTGGGAGCACTGAGAACTGGCGCTGCAGTTTAGAGTTGAAATCATTTGACAACACGTTGCAGAGGTTCGCTTCTCGACATAAATCCCTTCAGCTTCTCAGCTGTGATTTGTTTGGACATGAAAAGAGGATAGAGGATGGTATAATTTCAGCATCGAGATTTTACTATTAATGTTGCCGCAGAACAGTACTACTAACTGTGCAAGTACAGAGTAACCGATGAATGCACTCCATCATGTATGTCATGCACAGCACCGGGCCTATTTCCAGGACCGGGCACGTGCGACTTGGAGCTGATGGTGACCAGCCGGGGCTTAACTTGCCTCTAGCATGGGGAGTTTGGTTTCTCCCACCTGCTCGCGCCTGTGCTTGGTGTGTTTCCCCCAGCGCAGCAGGGCTTGTAACTCACGCTCGCTTGCTGTTTCCTCTGGTTACTGCGTGGTTATTGCTTTCTCGCTTCTTTCTCAAATTACTGCTCTTTGTAAGCCTATCTTTCTCTCTTGTTTACTTTATCGTGACTTGCCGGTCCTCAGCTCTCTCGCTTGCGCTGCTCTCTCTTTTGCCTATTTTGCGCTTGGGCCATGTCCACTGTCTTCGTCGATAACCGATATTTTCCTTTAATCTCGTCCAACCCATCACCCAAGACAGCAGAAACGTCACCAATGTCCCCCATGCCACTTCGGGCATAACCTACCTCCTATCTGCTTCTTGAAACTGCGATAACCCATAATTAATGTTAGTCACAGGCATGTTCCAAGCATAACTTAGCGGGTCTGATTTCTAAGCATTAGCCCTCACAGAAGCCGATGTTGATAATTAAACGACATTCGGACTTATTTTTGAGGGCATGAAGACCAGAATATCTTTTGCAGTGCGCTCAAGATGTTTCCCCATGCTGACTAGAGGGGGAGAAACGGACCCAAGTATGCGCGCTCAGTGTTTTTTAGATGAGTTCCATGGTACCATTGGGTTTTTAATTTGCCGGTTTACACCCCAAAAGTTGCCGTTTCTGGCAGAGAAATAAGTCTCCCCGGTGACCCGATGGACATTTCCGATTATAGCAAAAGATCGGGTAACTACGGGGATACGTTGATCTGATGGGTTGGGGAAGTGGATCCCGTTATTTGATGATATCGATCCGAGACTCGGGTTCTCTTCCACTCGGACAATACCCAAGTGTTTACATTTCCCTGCCCACCTACCCACCATCAATAATACAGCATTTGTTGTTCTAAATAGCTTTGCAGCACTTCCCAAGTGCTTCACTCTGCTCCATTTTACGTTGCCTATTCTTCCGTGTCTCATGCTGCTACTCCTTCAAAGTCTCCAACAATGAATCAACATAGACGCCAACAGCATCAGGAAGAACCGGGGTATGAGATGAGTTGGGTTCGGGAAGTGGGGATCCTGCCTAGGGAAGGAGGGGAAATCGTTTCTCAGCGGCTTGGAGGTTGCACATACTTATTGGCCTAGTCTTGAAGGATGGATTCCTTCAGCCTCGCGCTTCCCCTGTGTTGTTCAATCACTGGCACTTCGATTCCATGCCTTCGCGTTGTTTTGTCTGTCGACTGAAAGGAAAGGTGTGTCTTTTTCAATATGTTTCTTAGTTCATCTTCACCCGGACAAGTATCCTCCCCCATTCGGCTTCAGTGTTTGCTTGCTCTGCAGCCACGGACTCACTCGATTGAGAACGTTTGGCATCAGAGGCGCTAAAGGCGCATTCTTGCGCATCTGAATGTTCCACACGGTCGCGAAACTTTGGCATGGGGAAGACCAACTCCGTGTGTCATAAGACCAAGTCAGGATGCATCCCGCGTCAGAGGCCGTTGGTCTCGTTATATATACGACACACGCCCTATAGCCTCCATCATCCGATAGTGCAAACGAGTTTCTTACTCAATTTTCAGGGATGTGTCCAGCCCTTAGGTTGCCAGTCTTGTGACGCATGTCACGGCAAGCACGTTGAATGCATCCCGTGCCCAATAAAGATTTTAAATATGGTCAAAGTACGCGTTCGCCATTGTAGTGAAGGTCCGTATGATCGGCGAAGTACTGAGAATAACTTTGTAGAAATCGACCAGAGCTCGGGAGTGTCTGGAGGAGGTCAGGGCCTTGACTTCAAGGGACCCCACGTGTGTTGAGATAGGTACGTCCCTCTTTCTGTACTATGTTGTCATCCCTTCTACAATTTATCCATTTCTTTCTGTTCAATAGCGCTGCTCCCCAAAACTCGAGAGTTCCTTTCATATCTACAATCGATCCTTGGGGATACAACGGGTCAGCTCGTGGCTGACGCGAGAATTCCTCAACCATCTACTGTCGTTTCGCCGACGGCGGTATTGCCGACCACAACCCATGGATGGGTAAACTAAGTGGGGACTATTTCAGCCAACGAGGGATCCTCCATCACAGTTCCACTGGCAGACGGGCCCGGAGATGTGCCAGTTACTGATGATCCTGCAGCCTTCTACCCACCTTCCACCTTGGGATCGTACGAATACGTCGGGTACATCGATCAACCATCCCTCTTGGATTTCGGTTCAGTCCCTTATCCCTTTGATCCTATAGCTAGCTCTTCCGCTAGTGAGTCAATTTCCCATGGCTCCACTTCCTTCCTCGAGCAAGTGATTCCCGTCCAAGAGAAGGCATCCTGCGGTGACAATCGGGATGTTCTAATGCCAGACATCTCGTACGATACTGTCAACTCTGAGCTTGCGGGACCACCTACTGCGCTCTGTTCACAAACAGATGCCTCTTCACACGAACCTCATGGCGAGACTCTGGGAAATGCTGTGAGTTGCCTTAGAAGTCTAGCTTGGAGTATGGGATACGACATCGTCCCTCGCGGAGCGGCTATTCCTGGTGGTGGTGCTCTTGTATAGGGGCATTTGTTTGAAGGCAAGTGCCTTCTGTTTTTCTGCGCAATATAGCTGCCTTTTGTAAACGCGGCATTCCAAATATGGCAACCCGATTCACTCGCAGTCCAGAAGTAATACACTAGTACCCACGGTGGGCTTCATTCGGACGAAGAAGGACGAGTGTTCTCAGATCGGACCTACTTATCTGTTATGTTTACTTTATTTGCGTGTATTTTCCTCGAGACCCCTGCCCTTGGCGCTCGTGTGAGCAGCCTTGAAGTTTTGCAGGTTAAATATCCAGAATAAAACAAACAAACAAACTAGTACACGCGGCTTTATACTCTGCGATAATATTCTAGGGTTTTCCATGCGCAAGCGCTGATGCAGGCACCGAATGCCCATCATGTGACTCGCATTCCAACATGGCCTCCCGAGCTGGCCGAATTCATTATCACATCTACGGGCACCGATGCCTGATGGCTCATCCAGTTGCTGACTTGCCCCCTACTACTAGACAAACACTGCCTGTCCACTCTGTTGGAGTTACAACGACGCGTGACTCACTAACCAAACTCACATGATCTTACTTTTCGTTTCCGTTGTATTGATCCCGTGACTGCATTGTATATAGGTAATTGTTTGGGTCTATTTTCTTTTTCCCCTCAGTTCTTCATTTACGGAGACTGAGGTCAGTATCATTAGTTTTAGCCCCGACAAGATGTCGAAGCTGTTGGAATATCAACGCTCATCGACAACAGCCGAGCTGCAGCGTGGATTGGGGAGTTTTTATTTTAACTTAATATCGTCGTGACTAACAACGACTATACCTTTTTGTTTCAGAGTCGCGGTACCACGCGCTCCCAATTTACTTTGTCTTATATCGCCAGTTGTCACTGACAATCGCTTTAAGCGATATTGGCTCCAGTCGTATAAGTTACGCTGGACGCCGTAATTTTTCTCCCTCCCTCAGTTCTCTATTTCGAGACTGAGGTGATACCATTTCTTTCCTATCTGTGTTTGCGCATAACTCATTGTATTTTCATGTTATAGTTACACGTGATAGGTAAACATCTTAATACTAGTTCTCTATTTCGAGACTGAGTTACGCGCGATAGCTCCTATTTCATTAGAAGCCTCTTGATTTGAAGCGAGCTGGTAGATACAAAAACCCCCCCCCCAAAAAAAGGAGGTGATGGGGCAGGTGGAGGGTAACGATGAAGACAGACAGAGAGTAGCAGCAAGAAGCGCCAACAAAAGAGAAGAAGTGAAGTTACAAGAAACAAGGCATGAGCCGAAAAATGAAAGACACCGTAAACATCCGGGATCCAACTTGCAAAGGGTAACCAAGGCTAACTGCCTTATCCAATGCAAGACCGAATATTCAACACCAACCAACCACCCTAACCAGAACTAATAAGAGAATTAGTTAGAAAAATACGTCAGAGTCATAGAAAAAGGAAATAAACTCCAGCGTGCGCGGACGCAAGAGGAGGTAAAAGACTGTAGAACAACAGCGTGCAGCGGACGCGAGAGGTGGTGGCTGAGAAGCCAAAGCGTACCGTGGACGCAGAAGAGAAGGCACGGAGGCCGAAGCGTACAGCGGACGCGTGTAAAGAGAAAGAAAAACCACCGACGTACCAAACAAGCAGCAGAGTATCAGAAACATGGACACAATTGCATACCAGACAACTAAGAAAAACTGAACATCGCGGATGAACAGTCTAAAAGCATAAAGCAATGAAAATTGCGTACAGACGAGGACTTGACCTAGCAAAGGGGCACGGCGGATACCCAGAAGAAAACTGAGGCGCTGAGGCCGGCGCACACAAGTCATATTTAATCTCGTGCCTCCATTAAATTTAAATTACTAGTTACATTACTTACTTGTACTATAGCTAGGTTAGTACTAACCGTAGTAATTCAGTTCTTCATTTACGGAGACTGAGCTTCCGCGTCAGCCCTCCTATTACACTCTGGCGGCGTGATATATCACGCAATCTTCATCGGCAGCCCTCACTGGCACGAACTTATCTGCGCGCCTAACCGTTAGCCCCCCACATTACACGATGCGCGCCAATCATGGAATGCCTGATGTTTCTGGCCACATGTCGCTATTATTGTGGGGCAGCATGTGAATACATGATCTACGAATTCTCATAATTCTCCTTGTAGCAATTATGCCCGAATGGTGTATTCAAGCGATCGCGTGAGGGCTGCGCGCGGGCGCGCCGCTCATGATCGCATGAGTACGTTCGTGACATGGATATACATAGAAGCTATATATAACGCTTGCTTCCTGGCCAACTCGAAATGCTGAGCCCATCGACGCACGGGGTTGACGGGCGAGCCGCTCACTAGTCACGATAATATCCCGCCAGCACCAGCTTCAAATACCACGCGATGCTGAGTTCCAAGCTGCAGTCTGTTGTCTATTGGCTCCGAGGCCTGACCCAGAGGTTCGGATATCGCCTCGTGTCTCTGAATCCGTGCGCCCGCAACATGGCATGCAGAGAGAGCAACCGATAGTTTTCTTTGAATCCAGTTATTATCTTAAATCTCTATTACTTTTATTTTTGACGTAATCAAGCGCTCATGCAGGGAGCTCACAAGATTTACATCATGGCGATCTCGCTATTTACTCCGGTGTTCCACATCCCACTTTTGTGCATCCGTTGTTACTATCTGCTTCTTCCTCTCACAAGCTTCGACATCATGCTTCCACTGGCAAATTAGGCAGCTCGCAACTGATTGCCGAAGAATGGTAGCTAGCCATATACACACTGGCAACAGCGCTAGAACTCTCTTCAATTACACATTGCAATTCTTTTGCATGTTAAAATGGTCTTTGCGACAAGTTACATAGGATAATCGGCCCAGCTCGGGCTTATATCCCTCCTGCAAGCGAGCCATTCCGCCTACAAGGGTTGGGGTGGGAGATGAGCTGATAGAACCCTCCTACTTCTAGACTGTTTCTCAGAGGAGGGTTGCCTACTCCCCTTATAACTCAGATGTCTCCCGGACCTCGGAACAGCCGTTCGATCATTCAGTCTGATGACTCCGGGAAGAGAAGCAATAAATCTTGGGATCAGGCAACACGAATTGTATTAGAAACGCAGTCACGCACACACCACGGAGCAAACTGAGTAATTCTGAGCATCTTGGGTAGATCGAGTGAGGGCGAAGAATCAACTTACACTGCCCACGTCAACTCAGAGAGGGGCAAGGCGGTATCCCATCTTCTGAGCCAGGCCTCGAAACCAGTAGTCAACATTATCCCCATTTGAGTTCATCTCCGACCACCTGTCCTGTAGACGATCAGGAGTTTCGAGCGCAGCAACAATCGGTGCCGGATTGACGATATGAGAGGGACCAGCTCTGGAAGGCTCGGCAAACTGCTCAGCATGATGGAAGAAGGGCGGCATCACGTCGGACAGGGTAGAGTCAATGGAAGAGGGCCCTGCTCCTAAACCTAAACCTTGAACGGGAAATGAGGTCTGGGTTCGGAGATTCGGCGATTCTCCATCGAAGGTGTCACCCTGCGTGGATATTGCCACGGGAAACGCGTAGGGAGGCCGATCAAGAGCTGACGCGGTGCCAATATAGCTCGCTGGAAAGGCTGTGATAGAACCATCGGGAAAGCCAGTAGGCGCTTGGATCTCTGGGACATGAGGTGCATGAAGTGGAGTTGCCATCAGTGGGGTGGCGATGGGGTGTATAGGGGTTTCTTCATCGGCTGCGCTTTGACCCGTCGAACCCTCAAGGGTCGAGTGTAGGTCCAGAAGAAACATGCGAGTCTGTGGAAGATGAGCTACATATAGAAATAGAGAAGCATGAGAACGATGTTGAATGTTGTTTTGAGGAGGCTTTCCTACATACCAATCCATGCACGCCCGGGATCAGCCAGCCCTCTAGCCTCACTCACACACTCCTGAGCCCTAGCCGATGTCTGTGAATTTTTCACTTTATCAAGAGAGTCTATCAACCCAATAGATGGAAGACGTACCTCGACCTCGGTGGAAATTGTCATCGAGCAGGCAAGGCATTCAATCCGCATCCTGCGACAAGATTCACAGGATTGGGAATGTGTCGACTCGATGCATCCCTAAAAACCGAAATGAGCAAGTTTTTTTTTTTCGCGTTACAAGGAAGATGGGTGTAGAAGAAAATGTCATTAATGTTTATGTCGGCCCATGTGTCACAACATGTCACAGGGAGATGACATCGACCCAATGTTCTGCGCTGCAAGTTTGAGAAGCCATGTATCTCCTTGCAGGCATCGCACCGTCATATCGACCGAAGACATTTTGTACTCCTCCGAAGACGCACACGAAGGAGGATCAAGTTTGTGGTGGGCTGTTACTCGCTTATTGGAGAACCCAGAGGGACGCACCTTTCCTCTTAGTTGACAGATGAAACAACGTGAAGGCATGATGAGTATAACTGGTGAAGTGTAGGAGCGGAGGGATATATAAGTACCTCAGAGTGTTTAAGAATGAATCAGGGGCGGGCCTGAGAAGTAGGCTCTTAAAACCCTATTTCCGGTAGGTTACGATAAATTATCTCTTCAGAGGGAAAAGGGGATATTTCCTTGTTGCCTTGTTACCTTGTACTTCCAAGGCCACTTTCGTGTCCACAAT